CGGCGCGCGCCGCGCTACCTCTCCGATCAACCATCTCAGCAGCCACGGTCCTTTTCAGGGCCAACAAATTGTTTCGAAGAAGTGGTTTGTCCATTGGAGTATTGACGACAATCCCACATTGGTAACCCCGACGTGATTGGAAGCGCGTGTGGTGAACATCAGTAACGACTCCTACGTTGGATCATCACGGCCCAGCATAGACGCAGCATACTCTTCGCAAGCAGCAACATCACTTCTCGCAAGGGGGGGAGTGATGTGGGAACATCCCACATTATCACGCATTTCTGCAACGCTCGCTCTTCACATCACTTTTCACCATCACGCGCGCTAACCAATCAGATTGCTTCAAACGATCGCATTTATACTACGCTCGGCGCTAGCCCGCGTCTACACCATTACGCGCGCTAGCCAATCAATTCTTGCTCCTCACTTTCGAGTTTGGCTCCGCCCAACCGACCAGCGTATAAAAAGGAGCGACTACAGAGTCGAGTATGCAGTTCCATTCAGTTCGATTCAGTTCACTTCAGCAAGCAACTTCAGCCAGCAGGCTTCGTCGCCAGCGCTCGGTCTTCGGATACATCGGCAGGCTGCGCCGGGCACGACTGCCTCGGCTCTCCGGCGCTCTCACACCCGACTCACTGGGGCACCGCGCCTGGACTCGCCGGTGGTCGTGTTACGGTCCGANCTCACCGGTCAATCATCTCAGCAACCACGGTCCTTTTCAGGGCCAACAAATTGTTCCGAAGAAGTGGGTTGTCATAGGAGTAATGACAAAGGCACACGTTGACAAGAGTGCCCCACAATCCGCTTGCTCACTTGGAACCAACTTTATAATATAATGCTGAAGAATGATGAAATAAATACAGTGGAACCTCACTTAACAAGCATAATTCGTTCCAGAATCTTACTCGTAATGCAAAACACTCATTAAGCGAAACAATTTTTCCCATATAAATTAATGTAAAATATGATAATGTGTTCCATGCCGAAAAAAATACTCAAAAAATTTTATGTATAACATTTATTCAAAGAAAATTATATATACATTGTTAAGGAGTGTTAATCATCTTTGTCTTTTCTTCTATGCGGAATGAACCAACCTGGAATGTGAATTTGATTTGCAGAAAACAAAAACAATAAAAATAACTGAAATAATTAGTTTATTATTTATGATACATATCTAATTCTTTTTTACTAGAAAGCTGTCTAGAGACATTTGTTTTTGCCAACGCTTCAAAATCTGGTGAATATGCGACACAGTATTATCATTAAATAAATTTGTAGCGTGCATTGCCACTGCCTTATTAGGGTGATGCTTCTCAATGTACAATGCAACAGTTTCCCATGCTTTTTGCATTTCTCTTATTGCACCAGAAGGTTGCTGCTTTGCTGTTACCTCCTCCTCCTCATCCTCTGACAAACTCTCCTCCACAACTTCTTGCTGTGAAACACAATGCAACTCCATATGCTCTTCAGTGGTCAGCTCTTGGCTGTGCTCTTCCACAAGCTCATCGATATCACTGTTATCCACCTCCAGCCCCATGATCTTGGCCAAAGACACAATCTCATTGACTACAGGCTCCACAGGTACTATCTCAAACCCTTCAAAGTCACATTCGACAATGCTCACCAACCAAAGCTTCTTCCAGGCAAAAGTCAGGGTTCTCTTGGTAACCCCTTCCCACACCTTTTTGATCATCTTGAGGCAGGCAACGATGTGGAAGTGATATTTCCAAAACTCTCTGAGAGTGAGATTGGTCCCTTCAGTCACCTCAAAACAATGCTCAAAGAGTGCTTTAGTGTACAGCTTCTTAAAGTTAGAAATAACCTGTTGGACCATAGGCTGGAGTAATGGAGTGGTGTTGGGAGGCTGGATCTTGATGAATTTAAATTCTTCAAGGAGGTCATCCTGTAGGTCTGGAGGATGGGCAGGAGCGTTGTCCATAATAAGCAAGACAATGAGTGGCAGATTCATCTTATTATTCAAATATTTTTTCACAGAAGGACCAAACACTTCATTGAGCCAATCAGTAAAAAGGTCACGTGTCACCCAAGCCTTATTGTTGGACCTCCACATCACATTTAGCCTGCTCTTCTGGACTTTACACTTCTTGAGGGCTCGTGGAGTTTCTGAATGGTAAACAAGCAGCGGTTTGATTTTCAAATCGCCGCATGCATTGGCACAAAATAACAGCATTAGAGGGTCTTTCATTGGCTTATGGCCGGGCAATGCATTATTGTCTGCTGTTATATAAGTTTGCTTCAGCACCTTTTTCCAGAAGAGACCTGTCTCGTCAAAATTAAAAACCAGTTGCGGCAGGTAACCCTCAGAATCTACGAGCTTCTTGAAGTCGCCGATGAAGTTCTCTGCTGCCTTTGTGTCGGACCTTGCTGCTTCACCATGCCTTACAACACTGTGGATGCCGGTTCTTCTCTTAAACTTCTTGAACCACCCACGGCTTCCCTTAAATGCTTCTTCTTTGGCCGTTGATGATCCTGGCGTCTTCTTAACGAGGTCAGCGAAAATCACTTTCACCTTCTCACAAATGATGTTCTTGTTAATAGTGTCCCCTTGCAATTGCTTTTCGTTTATCCATATGAGGAGCAACTTTTCAACATTGTCGAGAATACGTAACCGTTGCGTAGATATTCTTGTCACGCCCTTTGAAGCATTTATCTCCTTAATCTTGTCCTTGTTCCTGAGGATAGTGCAAATCGTTGATGTAGACCTATTGTATGTGCATGCTAGATCAGCCATGCTCACACCCCGTTCTCACTTTTCAATGATTTTACGTTTCATTTCTATGGTTATTTTTATTCTCTTATGGCTGTCTCTTTGCGCCTTTTTCTTCGGGAACATTTTTGCAAGGGTTATTAAACTTTGCACAAAAAAATAAAAATAAAAAATAATATGTCTGAACACAAGTTTGGAAAAATGTGTGATCACAAGCGACACTAAGATCCTAGCGGAACGAGTGCTAAACACAGACTGATGTAGCAAGCGCACAATCCGGAACTTCCCCTCTCGTCACTCGTTATGTGAAACGTTACTCATTAAGCAAGTCATTTTTTTACAATTTGCTTTGCTCGTAATGCGAATTACTCGTTATGAGAGGTGCTTGTTAAGCGAGGTTCCACTGTACTGAACTAAGAGGGAAATTTATATGATTCATAACTAACACGTAGGAAGAATGATGAGGTGAATGGGGGTATGTTCTATCGTGTTGTGTTTTTCTGACCTAAGTGTATTATTATCATTAATATTCAAGACTACCCTGTGTGGATTTCAGTTGGAATTTTTATGTATCTTTTAATATGTGTCTATATTGCAACTGTAGAAGACAAATCAGAGTTGTCAACACTGTTGCTGTTTCCATTCATGACACAGCTGAAGCTATATTCTAACAAATAACAATGTTCTGGTTTGTAAATTGGATCTTAGCTAAATCCCCTCAGAGATTAAATAGTTTGTGACATACCCTGCAGTTACTGCAACATGGTCCTGAAGCACACTCAGCTTCAGTGGTCAGTTTGCAAGTGACAGGGTCGCAGCAGGGATCCAAGTCATGGCACTCATCGATAGTACCACAGTCACAATCCTCGCCTTCCTCGACAATACTGTTTCCACACGTCCGTCGCACTACCAGCTGCAACAGCACAGAACACTGAATCCAGATTCCTGTGTTTTCATTTTTATGTCAATTCAGTTATTTGGAGGGAACAAGGAAAACAGGTGATTAAAAAACTATCCCCCAGTTCAATGCTTCTGTAATTAAGCTTGTGTTTTACATTTCAAAAGTCTGATTCCTATAAAAGAAGAAACTGGTAGGTATGATCAAATCTCTTACTTACAGAACTGAAGCAGATAATTATCAGCTAGGCTCAAATTTTTTGAACCCTTAGGTAAAGTTTACAAATATGAATATTCAAGAAGTTCTCCAAACAAACATGACTCCCCTCAAGGCTTCTTTGTACAAATATGAATAAATATCATCTCTACATTCATTAAGCATTTCAAGAATAGATTCCTTCATAATGTTATTGATTGCAAGGCTTCTATAGCACATTAATATTAACATACAACATTTAATCTTTCCTGTACACATAAATAGTCCAGGGATTTTAAATTTAAAATCTCAGTTCTGCAGGAGGTCAACATATAATTTGTATTTAATAATTCCTTTTTGAGCTTCTGGCTTCAGATAAAGATGAGATTGTTAAGAATTAAATCATTTACACATATAGAAAATTCTGAAACTCCCAGCTTCAGATCCACTGTTTAGTTTATGTTCCTGTGCAATTATTCTGTCTTTATTAGCAGTGTCTTACCAATTTTTTGTTGCTACTTAGCAAACCTGCATTTGAAGAGGACACGATAACAAAGTTAATGCATCACACTAGTGTTTGCTTTGCTGAGAAACACTTGTGGCCTCCTTTGAGAGAATTTGTTTTTCATTGGACAGATTGTGTTACATAGAAAAATCTGTTAACAAAAGGTGCATACCTTAGCAGATTAATACAATAATGGGTTTTAAAAAAAGAAAACCCTGCTATCTACACTAGCTAGCTATGCATTTTGAAAAAATTAAATATTCCAAAATTTCCTCATTCTGAAAAGAACCACAAGAAATACTGTTGGCCAATACTGCCACTGATTGTGTTTTGTCATTGATACTCAGTTTCAGTAACCGGCACAACTGTTGCAACTAATATTTTCATCCTATTATTTTTTAATTCAGTGCATTTATGGCAAAAGATGTAAATTATACTTTCAAACAGAAATAACCATGGTCTACCTGAATTCAATCATACATATACATGTATTAAAACAGATGCAGAGACTACGAAATTTGTGGCAAGAAACCCAGAATCAAGCATGTAAATTGGCAGTCAACTGTGCCAAGTAAACTGTCAAAAAAATGACCTGTTGAAAGGCACCTGAAAGGTTGGGGGGAAAAAAGGTACTGTGAGGTCACACCTCAAGCAATATGGCCTGTCACGAAGACTTTCACAAAAAGAGATGGATCAAAGGCACCAACAGCTATTCATGATCTTTTCACCCTTAAACATCAACCTCTAGTGAAAGCCACTATGGTTGTGGACTGTTTAGAAAATCAGTTCACACACATGGCGTGTGACGAAAACCATAAACAGCTGGTGGAAGCTGAAGTCGAAGCACTGCTTGAAAGTGCTGAAAACACCCCTTTGGAAAAAGTACGTCCCTGTGATATTATTATTGTTGTTGTTATTATTATTATTATTATTATTATTATTATTATTATTATTATTATTAATGTATTGCCTTTCTTGCCACAAATAGTATAATTATTGGAAATGTACTTTATTTTTCTCGCCTCTTAAATGTAACTTCAATTTTTCTTGGAATTTGTATGAATTTATTGATATATAGACAGCGATATTTTGTATTTTGCTCTTTAATTATGTTTGTGTATTTCTGTGTACGCGTGCTAACGTTGTAATTGGCCATTGTGCTGTTAAGTTTGCGCGTAAATAAACATGAATTGAATTTAATTGAACTGAATTACTATTTTCCTGCAATCGGGTGTTCACCCGGTAGCAGTAAATCTTACACCGATACAGACAAGGAAAGACTATACATAAAGGGAAGAATACAAAGCATACAATAAACAAGGTACACAGTGAAAATCCAAACATATAAGGTCACACAAGGGTACGTGTTTGTGTTCGTTTCACTGCACTTGAACAATGATACTTCACATTACTTCACTTGTTCCCTTCCAGGGTCCGCCTAGGCCTGTTTAGTTGTAACCGCTTCCCTAACCTTATTTCTAGAAGTGTTTAATTTACGGGGGAAGGACGCTAGTATGCCTGGAGGTAAGCTGTTCCAATCGTTTATGATCCTATTTACAAAGTACTATTTGCCAATCTCTATTCTTTGTTTCCTGCCCCTAACCTTCCAACTACGATCGTCCCAACTCGGGTAGCGTGGCTTATGCAGGCTATGCCCTATCGCTATCCAAGGCGGTCTACATGTGTATGCCTTGTAAAGAACGCACAAACAGGCTATCAGTCTACGCTGTGCCAAAGTTTCCCAACCACATCCATTTGTAGGATTTGCAAATTTAGCCGCTCTTCTTTGTACCCGATTTAAAGCGCAAAACTGCCATTCTCTGTATGGGCCCCAACATACCGCACCATATTCCAAGTCTCACTAATGACGTATAAGCTAGACGTTTCGTATTTTTATTTCCCTGTTTGAGTATACGCATTATTAAGTGAAGGGCCTGGCCATGCTTTTCGTAGTGTACGAGTATAGTTCACGTGATCTTCCTGTCTTGGATCGCTGCATATGATTACTCCTAGGTACTTAGTGCTATTTACATCCAGAATTAATTGATCCCCAAAATAATACATCAGTTGATCCTTCACCCTAGCTCTCTAATCCTTCAGAAATTAACGAAATCATTGGAGCTGAGAAATACTTATGGAATTACAAGAAGGCCACGTGTATATTTGACACATTTACGAGTATATAATCACTGCCTTCACTTGTCACATTATTCAAAGCCTTGGAAGGACGCAAAAATCACAACCTTACTGAAACACTGTAAGGGCCAAAAATATTTCTAAATTTACATCCAATAAGCCTTTTCTCCACTATGGGCAAATTTTCGAAAACAATAATTCTAAAAGTGGTCCAAATTCACGTTGAGGTAAGTGGCTTGTTTCATGCAAGTTTTGTTGCTGTCCACAGCATAGCATAACATTGTAATATTTGAGACTTAGGTCCCACACGGCCTAAAATTTCAACAATAACATGTTTAGGGTTGCGGTATTCTTGGATGCTGAGAAAGCCTTTGATGCAACATAGCACACTGGTCTGTTACACAAATTTCATAAATTAATACATCAGACAAATTTAATCTAGCTTATTGTCTCCCTTCTATCGGAGTGAAAATTCTCAGCTTCTGTTGAAGGCAAAATGTCCACACAAATTTAATAATTTAAAACTTCAGACAAATTTAATCTAGCTTATTGTCTCCCTTCTATCAGAGTGAAAATTCTCGGCTTCTGTTGAAGGCAAAATGTCCACACCTGAAGAAATACAAGCAAGTTCACCTCAAGGTTCCATCCTATCCCCAACATCGTGCAGTTTATATATAAATGATACCCCCAAGAAACACTTGCTGTTTAACTGACCCTATTTTCTGATGACACTTGTATGTGTGCCACAGATTGCAAAGAGTTTTACGATCTCTGAAAGCTGCAGCAGGGTCTCAATTTAATTGAGACATGAGGCAAGCACTGGAACATTAACATCAACTAAGATAAAACTAGGGCCGTCTACTTCCCTCATAGACTTATTCCACCTGAGGTTCATCTCACACTGAACAGATGGAACATCTTTTTCATGAAACATATCAAATAACCTCAGCGTAATCTTTGACAAGAGGATTATATGGAGATTGCATATAAAAGTGATCAAAATCAAGGCCTTCAGAACCTTTACTAGAGTCAACTTCTTCAAAAGTGAGTGACTAAGTGCTAATGTTAAATTAATCCTCCAAAGTTAATAAGATCAGTAATGTACACAGTGTTAACACAAGACACAATCACTGTCTTCATAAACCAATTGCTAACCTCTCATGCTTTCAGAAAAGCACATATTATGCTTGGATCAAAATTTTTAATAACCTGCCATCTGATCTCAAAGGTCTTATGAACGAAAATACACAATTTAAAATAGCACTGAAACGATACTTAAATACACACTCATTCTACTCTGCTGAGGAATACCTATTGTCTAGAAAATAACTTATGTGTCTTTAAATAGCCTTGTGTGTAGTCACTGTGTATTCTTGGTTTCTCTTATGTGAGAACTCCATTGGGACTGTACATATGTTTTGTATTTATATGACATATTCCACATCCTACAGTCATTTTGACTAACTTTGGATCCATGGATTGCAATGCAATGTAATGTAATGTAATGTCTTGTGCTTGCTCCGCCTGGTAATTTGTAGCAGATACCCACATTCAGCACTTGCAAAACAAGGTTCTTTGGACCATTGGTAAGTTTCTGAATTGCACATGGGTTTTGGAGCATTGTATATTTATGATTACATAACCAAATTGTGCAGGCATCAAGCAGAGGTTATACAAAATCATGGAAATGCATATGTTTGCAACATTGGAAAAGGTGAAGCCTGACACAAAAAATATATGAGGCTAAAATTTAACGGCAGTCAAGCATACCACTGTTCAAGTTTTAGGCAGCCCTTGTAACATAAACTACATGAATTAGGGAATGATTTGCTGCGCCAAGCCTAAACTGACAGAAGCCTTGTATATACTGTAAATACATTATGTACTGGAGTTACATATAAAACTCTAAATAGTGTATCCACAAGGAACTGGAATCATGAGAACTATGTAGAATGCCAACATGTAAAATTGTAAACAAAGGTGACATATACTACTAACTATGACTTTGGTAAATGGCAGACTCATCCTCTCATCAGAGAGGGCATCCCATATTGACAAAACCGCAACTGTCTGACAGTAACATAAATCTAGTCTTGGGCTGCGCATCGGGCTTGTCACCAAGATTGACTCGCTGACTGACCATTGGTCGTAATGTGACTTCAACTTGAAGTTAGTGAACAGTTGGGACTGTGAGTTAGCTGTGAGATAATTGCCTGCCAGTAAGGAGGTGAGCATGGAAGCAGGGCAATGACTAATCAAGACTATAACAGATTGACACTTAGCATGTGCTGTAGTGAGAAGTAGGGTGCGTGAATTAGTGAGAATATTTATACGTGTTAAACAAATCTATTTATCTATTCAGACTCCATGTGTTGTTACTACCACAATATACAAAATATATACAATATATACGAGGGGGGACCCAAAAATAACCGGAATTTATTTTTGTTATTTTTTATTTTTGCATTTTTATTGAACATCCAGGTAAAAATGTTGGTTCACTGTTTGTCCTGGTGGAAAGAACTCTTTATGGACAATGCCATTCACATCAAAAAAAACAAATCAACATTGTTTTCACTTTGGATCGCACTTGACGCGCTTTCTTCGGTCATGGTGAAGTTGGAGTTTTCCACTGGCTTGATGATTGCTTTGATTCTGGATCGTACCCATAGCACCAAGACTCATCGCCAGCACAATTCTTTTAAGAAATTCTGGATCGTTCTGCACTTCACTCTTCAAGTCGCGGCAAACATTCACGCGGTTTTCTCTTTGGTCATCTCCAAGCAAGCGAGGAACAAATTTTGCAGACACCCGTCTCATGTGCAAACCTTCGGTTAAAATTCGCTGGACCGTGCTCCATGAGATGTTAGTTTCCTCAGAAAGTTGGTTAATGGTCTTTCAACGATCTTCATCAATTGCACGTTTGATTTTGGCAATGTTTTCGTCATTTCTTTCTGTCGAAGGACGCCCGGGGCGTGGCATGTCTTCTGTTGACATGTTGCCAGATTTGAAACGGGAAAACCACTCGTAGACCTGTGATTTCCCCAAAGCATCATCATTAAAGGCTTGCCGAAGCATCCCAACAGTCTCGGCTGCAGTTTTCGCTAACAGAAAGCAAAATTTCACGCACACTCTTTGTTCCTTCTGGCCGGCCATCTCACTGATCGCCAAAGGGTTGAAACAGGAACACACAGAACAGAGCACCACAGACAAACCACTTAACTCAGACTGACACCAGCTCACTAACAGTCGTGGGAGACCCCCAGCTAACACCACCTAGCAGCACAACTCGTAACTACAAAGCATGCACGCGCAACAGGTCGGTTCCGGTTATTTTTGGGTCCCCCTTCGTATATACAATATAGACAAAGGCATTCTTGAAATTTCATTAGATATTTCTGCTTCATTTTGATATTTCAGGGGAAAAGAAAGTTTAGAACGGCTGCTTGAAAAGAACTGTAAGTTTTCTGAAATTTCAGTTCATGCTATGTGAAATCTTCTGGCATGTAATAAAAATGCAGACTGGTACAGGTCTATCAGGCTACATGGCATCACATCCCAGAATACAGCAATCTTCCTAGTCACTGCCATGCACACCTCAACTCACAAATTGTGCTCTGAATATCTGTAATTTAACACATTCATGATAATTTGATTTTATCATTTAAGATGGCTAAAATACATGTACAAAGTTCATGCACACATTTCAAATTAAATTCCGCAATATTATGAAAAATCTTCTGGATTAATACACTACTAATGCTAAGGTATCACTCATACAGTTGTTTCCATCTCCAATACAACATAAACTTTTATTTTAAAATATCACTAAAATCACATTTAAGTATCCTAAAATTTCATTAAAATCACTTTTTATTTTATTGTTGCAACATGTTTTGACACTGTAAGGCGATCCTCAGGTAACTGTTAATTGATTGAAACCACCATACTCTATCAACTCCTATGTCAGTAAATTGCATGCTTCTACTGCGTGTTGTCATTGTTTGAAATTGTATGTCCACACTTCTCTCACATTACTTTCATATTGCAGCACCAATGCTGTGTTTCCCTTTGTGCACACCTCTCCCTAGTTGGGTGTGTAAACCCGTGTATTGATCTAAAATACTGATGTATTTTAACTTTCAGTGCTGTTGCAGTAGCTAATGCTATTGCAGGAACTATCACAGTTCAAATTATGCCAATCTAATATATATATATAATGGAGAATGCCCATAGGTATTATGACATTTGCTCTACAAATCTGTCAATACATCAATATATGTGACCCACATGTTGCAAAACTGAGGTGAAAGCGTGCAATCAAGTTTCCAGAATGCAGTTCTAATCCTCATTCCCACAAATAACCTTCAATCTCTTAATTTGAGTATTATTCATTCTTTAAAGTTTTGGTTAGTATATACTGTGGTATTGATGAGGAAAGCAAACATATCCCATGTAAATAATGTTTATATCTCTTTTCAGATTAATATGAGCATTCTTGAAGACATATGGGAGAGTTTTCTTGACTTCAGCACTAGTTGGAGGTGAGTGGTCAGCTTCACGCACCAAGCGCTTTACCCCAGGGGAAAGAGCCGCCAGTGCTCACTGAATAGGAGGCTGGGTGACCCTGAGCTGGTCTGGATGCTGCAGAGAAGAGAAAATTCTTGACCCTACCAGGACTCAAATTCTGATTCCTTGGTCATGCAGCCTGTAGCCAGTTGCTATACTAACTATGCTATCCAGGCTCAACTTTACACTCTATATCCAAACATAAATATGCAGATAAACAACTTAACAAATAAGAATATGATAACATGGATTTGAGGTTTTCACAATAGTGACTATGAAGACTGTGATCTTCCGGGTTGTAGCACAGTGCAGCTCTGAGAAAGTCTAACATTCCAGAGGAACATATCAGCTACATCTTCTAGGTGGAATATTAAGTGAAGGAAATACTCCAGCAGAACTAGGCAGCAAGCTGAGCTCATATGTTCCTCTGAAACATGGGGCTCTCTCTGAACTACATGGCATTACAACACACATAACAGCAGTCTTTGAGCATGCAGTAAGTTCATAAAAGCATATTATTTTAAAAGGTCACATGTATGCACGATTAGTGCACACGTGTAGTATAGAATTTATTACACTGTTACCTCATTGGGTTTATTCAGGAGGCAGATTCCATGTCCTATCCTCAAGGCATCAATGTAATCTGAGCGACTGCACTCTGAGAATTTGTACGGTTGAACATTCTCCAGTCCAACGATGGACTGTGCCATAATGCAACCATGCCAGTCTCTGCAGAAGCACTCTTCTCCTGTGTATTTGAAGTATTATTATCATTATGTAGTGAAGATAAACACCAAGGATAAATATTACACACATTTTCTTAAATCAGTAGTTATTGCAGCATATTTTTTATTTCATCACTCTCAAATGATATTAGCTATACCCATAATTCTGTAAGCATACTCTAGTATTAAAATTGTGTGTCAATGGAAATATGAAAAAAGTTGCAAAAATCTCATTCAAAAGCTGATTTCCATCTGATAGTTTGATTGGACTTATGAAAGATGCAAAACTGAACCACAAATAAATCTTGCAACTGTACTAGGCAAGCTCAGCCATGCTTCATTTCCATCATAACAGGCTGTGTGGACATTTAATTTTGGTCACAATGTTGGTAATATCAATTGCACAATTCATTACAATCTCTAACCGATTTCTGCACAAAAGGTTCAAACATTTCTGTACTGCTAGTCCCTTTCAAAACTTCAAGTATAGGACTTTGAACAGGATGAGTGTTTATTATACAAACTATGATATGTGTTTAATTTTCAAACATGTGGATAACTTTCTCTCAAGGCTAAGTCCATATAAAGATAAAATTATTGGGGATCATCAGTGTGGGTTTGATGTAACAGATCAATTACTCATCAGCTTTTATTTTGCATTTATCAGATACTGGAGAAAAAAAAAGGTAATACAATGAGACAGTACATTAGCTATTCGTAGATTTCAAGAAAGATTATATTTCAGATAGGAGTGAAGTATGAGTATTGTACACTCTTCTCAGAGAGTCTGGGGTTCCCATGGAACTTGTTAGGCTGACTAAAATGTGTTTAAATGAAACATATAGTCTGTATGGGCAAATATTTATCTGATAATTTTCCTATCCAGAATGGTCCAAAAAGGGAGATGATTTATTGCCACTGCTTTTCAATTTTGTTCTAGAATATGCCATTAGGAAGGTCCAGGAAAACCGGGTGGGACTGAAATTAAATGGGAAACATCAGCTGGTGGTCTATGCTGATGATGTAAATCTACTGGGAGATAATATAGATATCATAAAGAAAAAGACACAAACTTTAATTGATCCTAATAATGAGATTGGTCTAGAAATAAACACAGAGAATACAAAATATATGTTGCTGTTTCCACACCAGAATGTAGGGCAAAATCATGACATAAAGACAGATAACAGATGTTCTGAAAATGTGGCACAGTTCACATTTTTGAGAATGATTAAAACAAATCGAAACCAGATTCAGGAGGAAATTAAGAGGAGACTGAACTTGAGTAATGCTTGCTACCATTCAGTCCATAACTTTTTGTCTCCTCGTCTGCTGTCCAAAAACATGAAAAATTAGAATACTATTAGAATTATGTAGAACTATAATTTTGCCTATGGTTTTGTATGGGTGTGACTCTTAGTCTCTGACATTAAGGAACGAACACAGACTGAGGGTGTTTGATACAGGGTGTTTTGGAGAATATTTGGACTGAAGAGAGATGAAGTGACAGGAGGTTGGAGAAGACTGCACAATGAGGAGCTTCATATCTTGTACTCTTCACCAAGTATAATCAGAATGACGAAGTCAAAGAGGATGAGATGGGCAGGTCATGTAACATGAATGGTGGAGAAGAATGCATATAGGATATTGGTGGGAAAGCCAGAAGGAAAGAGACCACTGGGAAGACCAAGGCATAGTTGGGTGGACAATATTAAAATGGATCTTCGAGTTATGTGATGGGATGGTATGGATTGGATTGATCTGGCTCAGGATAGGGACCAGTGGAGGGCTCTTGTAAACAGAGTAATGAACCTTTGGGTTCCATAAAATGTTGAGAATTTCTTGAGTAGCTGCACAACTCGCAGCTTCTCAAGAAGAATTCAGCTCCATGAAGTTAGGATAGTGCTGAACTAACCTGCAAGTTTTGAGCATACAGTTTTGAGCTTATGAACATGTAAAGTACCATGTTACTTTCTGAGCCTGAAGTTGTGAACTGGTGAGATAAATTTTATGCTTCAGACCTTATTAACTTGGGTTTAATGCATCTCAGAATCAGTGGTTTTACTGCTGTCTCCATGGCAAAATTCTTGCACAACATCAGTGCAAATATAACTGATCCTCTTTCTGAAAAATTATTTGCCAATGATATTTCTATAAGGGTCAGTCAAATGGAAACGGGTCACCATGCATACCTCACATGGCACGCAAGCTGGTAACAATGGAATTTGCTTACGGTACGAACATCTGGTGGGGACTCGGGAAAGCACAGTGTCAACATGCCCTTGCGCACTAGTCGTTTGTTTATAGTGCTGGAAGTAAGGTTAGCGCTATGTGTGGTCATGCAACATCAGTAATGGAGGTGGGTAAAGAAGAACAGCGAAGTGTAGTGCACTTTTAACTGTTGAAGGAGTAGGAGGACAAGAAATTCATCATCACATGACTGTTGTTTACGGTGAACAACGCATGTCACATTCTGTACATGCCATTGTGACAAAATACCTGCTGCACTGCAAAATCTGTGCACAGTGGGTTCCATATCAACTCACGTAGGAACAGAAGACTCAGAGAATAGCTGCATCACTGGGTCACTTGCAACGATACCATGAGGAAGAGTATGTTTTTCTGTCCCATATTGCCACTGGGGACGAAACTTGGTGCCACCATTTGGAACTCGAGAGCAAATGGCAGAGCCAACAGTGGAAACACATGAATTCTCCCCCACCAAAGAAATCCAAAGCTGTACACACAAGTTCCGGTAAAATGATGATGACGTTCTTCTTTGACTGCAAGGGCCCTCTGCTTGTCTAATTTCTTGAGCATGGGGCCACAATCTGTGCACAGCGCTATGAAGACACTTTACAGAAACTGAGATGTGCCATAAAGTCAAAACACCCTGGAATGCTATCGAACGGCATTATCCTTCTTCACGATAATGCGCGCCCCCACACTGCCAACTGTGTGAGGAAACGCTACAGAGATTGGGTTGGGTAGTGCTTCAACATCCCCCCTACAGCCCAGATCTCTCCCATGTGATTCTCACATTTTTGGAGACCTTAAGAGAAACATTCATGGACATCAGTGTGCATCAGACAAAGACATTTGTGGCTGGGTAAAGATGTGGTTCCGTAGACAGCCCACAAGCTTTTTCAAGGATGGACTGACCATCTAATCTCCCAGTGGGATAAATGTATTAACAGTTTTGGAGATTACTTATGAGGTAAGAAATGTTCTTTAACATGTTTTGGCTTCTGACCTGTTTTCATTTGACTGCCCCTCATGCTATGGAATCTATGCACAATTTATCATAACACAGTGATAATATTCATACTATCAAGAATGGTATGATAGTAGAAATTAAAATNGACAGTGATAATTATCACTGTATGATAGTATGAATTATAATATTCATACTATCAAGAATGGTATGATAGTAGAAATTAAAATAGGGCTGAAGTACATTACTTCAGTATTTTCAGTTCTGTCTTGAATTATGCTGCTATCACAACACATCACATCACATCACTGATAATTCTAAATGACCTGGCTATATGCATTTACAGATGAGCCACACATTTTATACAAGGCACTGTGGATAAGTCAGGATTGCTGAGTTTTAGTCTAGTGTATGGTATCCTAAAGAACACAACCTTTCAGAATCTGGATCTGTATCCATCTTCAGATAAGGGGGTGGGAGACATCTACTCTGTTGGCTCCATTAGAAAAAGCTAACCTCAGTCACTTGCAGATATTGCAGGGCAGAAATATATTCTGATATCCTTGTGACATTCATTATACACTGCAGTACCCATCTGACCAAGGATCATGTAATTAGATTTGGTAATTCCTTCCATAAAGCAAAAATATTTGGAATAAAATAATAGCATGCAGGGGGGGGGGAGATAGTCAAAAATGATTTTAATTTGGAAATAAATGAGGAATAAAGGACTTTGATTGCCTAGGATTGGATGTTATGATAAACTGAAATTAATTTTATGGAAAGAGGTTATAAAATTTTGGACTGGGTTCTGCTGCAGCAAGGAAGGCTCCATTGCTGGGATCTTGTGAACATGGTAATTAACATGACAAGAAAGGGGTTTCTTTAAGAGATGAACAGTGATCAGTTTCTCAAGAATTCTCTTCCATGGAGTTAACGAATTAATACTTTGAGCTAATGAGTGTGAAGGGCTGTAACAGCAAAAGATATGATTTGAAGCTCAGTGCAGATACATTTTCTACAAGCAAGTTCAGCATTAACTGCTCAAATGTTATTACAGTCCAAATACTCACTTCCATCATCATGTGCCATACCAATGTTGTGTCCAATCATATGGGCCATGGTTCCAGCAAGGAGATGAGGTTCATACGTGTTTACATCGACACTGATGCCAACAGATCTGGCAGTGCAAACAGTCTCTGGGACAGCCATTCCTGATTTCCCACCCTGAAATAATGTCTCACCACTGCAAGAGAAAGCAACGCTGAGTTAGCAATGCAGAAATGAGGTTGTTTTAAGCAAAATTTTAACAACCAGTTTTACACTTCACAACAGAAACTCTATACGTATTACTTTCCTTATTTTTTATAGTTTATTTAATGATACTGCCAGTAGCATATCCAGTGCTCTTTCTAAAATTGTGTTTTTTGGCACTCTCATACAAAGTGTAGACCTTGAAACATTCAATGCACCAGCGGACTTTTGACTTTTGAAAAGTTTTCCAATATGCATCAACTGTTTGTCAGAATACATATAAATGCATACTGGCTGAAACAGTACTGAGTATATCTATTACTCTTTCTTTTACTCTGGAACATGCCACAATTAAGACTTCATGCAGAAGTGATGTAATTAGAGAAGACAGTTTCTCTTCTTTAATATGGTTCATATGAAATATAACTGTATATTGTGGTGTATAGACCCATTGCTAAGTAGTGACTTTGTAAACAGCAACTGTTATAGGGCAATGGCTCAGTAAAAATGTTCCCATGGCAATGAATAAGCACACAGCAATAGAGTTCCTGCTGGAAATGTGGTGTTTCTATAGGGTCCATGCTGACATGTTATAACCAAGGGGCAAAGGCAGTTGATAGGAAGTTTTCCACAGGAGGCTTTGAACATAGAACCTGAGTATGTGAAGCTGAAGAACCTCCAGTGTTTGAAACTGTTGCCTGGGAATGGCTGGTGAAGACACAACAGGCTACTAAAGGCTCAGCAGGTACTGTGATGATTTGTGAATTTTGGAGATTAGTGACGATGCTGTAATTGCTTATAGTTCTGAGTCATATGTATAAGTGGTCAATAAATCCATTCACCATCTCAGACCCTGTCTATAGTCACTTATACACATGACAATATTAATCCAAGCAATACAAATCTCAAAGACTGCACATAAAAGCTGCTGTACTACGGATATCACATAGCACAGAATCATAAATTGTTTCCCTTGTATGCTGCTCAATATTCATCATATTGAATTATTTTTTGTATAAGAGTTGTAAATCATAATGAGACCTATTATATTATGTCCAATGTTATTTTCTCTAAAAACATGTGTGTCAGTACCCTTAACACTTGTTTTTAGCCTCGAGGTCAAAATATAAACTGCACAAGCAGATATACAGCTTCTAGCCCTGAATAAGTTTGCCAGTATTCAGAAGTCCTTCGCCAGTAAGTGTAGTGGGACATAGCAGAACATTGTGGCTAAAAAATCACTACTCAAGTTAAATTATTTTTTTCTTATAAGCTCTTTTTGATAACACTAATGAAGTTCGTTATTGAACCAAAATTAAATTTTTTCTTATACCTTATAGTATAGAAAATGATGACAGATTTCACTGAAATCTGTTAAGTAGATTTAGGGATAAACACAGAGGCAGACAGACAAATATGACCTCTTAATTATGTGTCAAGTTTATATATTGTTTAAAAACGCAGTGCACAGAAATTAAAAATCTATAATTTAATGGCATAATAAGTCACATCTTTTAATCAGTTAACAATAAGGATATACAGTTCCAGCTGGCAGTGTGAGGATTAAAGTCCTGGGATTATTATAACATGCTTTGCTGTAACACACAAGGAACGTAGAGTCTTAGCATCAGAATTTTACTATGGTCTCGGCATGTTTGAAAGGCATATATTTTCAGGATTGACAAATATTAACTCATTTTTCAGATAAGATATAATGAATGATTCAAGCGTTAATTTGAAAAACACAAAGACTGTTATAATTTTTTACTGACCATCCACATCTCTTCAATCAGCATGGGTAAGTAAACAGAAATTTTGACCCTTATACAAAATTATGATATTGGCTATGCCCTCCATCAACCATTTGTATCCTGACCCTACCAGACTAGTGAATATAAATGCCATTTCTTAGTGCAGTAACCCTATCTCGCCCATTTCTGTGCAGATTTTCTTAATTACTTCACGGTAACTACAAACATGTTTTCATATTATCCTCGTTTTTATTTTTGGAGAAATTAGGTTTGCCGTCTCTTCAAATTACATTCTTTGAACTGGTGTGAACAATCCAAATTTTCAAAGAACATATACCATCAATGTATTTAGCACTGACTTGAAGAAAAAATAAACACAACAGAAATGAGGATATTAGGGACTAGCCCAGTGGACATTTTTTTTAATGCTAGTGGTGTGGGACTAAGTCCCTTGTACTGCGGCCACTTCTGGCCTATTATACCAGCCCCAGATGATAGGTGAGGGTGACTGTGGAGCAATTGGTGGAATGAAGATTGGCAGGGGAAACTGAAGTACTCGGAAAAAACCTGCCCCAGGGCCAATTTGTCCACCACAGATCCCACTTGACCAGACCTGTGATCGAACCTGGGCCACCATGGTGGGAAGCCAGCGACTAACTGTTTGAGCTATGGCGCAGCCTAGTGGATATGTTACATAAACATAAATATATTTGGGGTTGGTCCTGAAGGTGCTGAGCCTTGCTGCCTTATGTAATATTTCCGTATTCTTGTACATTAGGCATGGACACAGCACAACTTATTCTTGGAATCCTTCAACAAAAAATTAATCACTTACGTGAGCAGTTGTGTTGTATCTTTATCCACCTTGAATAGCTTTCTGGAGGTGTAATCGTTGAAGTTGAGCAAAGCGCGACTGATGTCCTCACTTTTGTCAATGGGGGCCTGGTTTGTACCTTGCCATGTTTCGATGTACACCACTGATACTCGTGTATTAAGCGTTCGGAAGTACTGCAAGATTATGGCATCACATAAAGGCAATGTTAGAAGAATCAAGAGTATCCAATTTCATTTAAAAGGAAGATTTACCAAATAAAAATAGAAGACAATGCTCTAAAAACATCAAACAGGAATTTCTGAAATCAATGACAAATAACACAATTCAGCCATCATCATGAAAATGTCAACAAATTTAACCATTGTATGGCCTCTTCCAGGTTTGTTTTCTGAAATATCTTAAATGTATGTGTGTGTTTTCTTGTTCTGTGTAATCTGCATTTCATCATTCACTGAGGAAGCATGCCTCTCTGCAAAGCTGTCAATGTAGCAAATTAATTTCTTTCTGCAGATACAAATTTTTGTCAGTGCTGATTCTGTCTATAGTTCAGGCAGAATGCTGTGGTTCCTTTCATACGTTTTTTACATTTTTTCAATCTGGAATGAGCACCATCTCAACATCTCTTAATTTTGAATTTGTCATCTTAAAGATTATTATTATTGCATTTCTCTGAACTTACAACGGTTACTATATGTTATTATTAAGCCTGCAATGTTTAGAAATGTTTACATTTTTTATTGAACTCAGAATAAGCCAGGAAGTGTACATATCTATAACATAACATTCAGATATTTCATCTTGATATTTTGCCCACTTAACTTTTACCTTCTTAATTTAGTTTGTGCATCTTATGCTTATAAAACTTTTATACGCTTTTATTTATAGCGTCTTCTGAATTTAAATATTGGTAAAAAGCTGTCAGCAAGAGGAATCGTAAATATTGGGCCAGTGGCTGTAAGTTTAACTTGTGAGATTATGGCATCATCTTATATATACTCAGAAACTGCTGCAAAATTAATGAATGAAATAGCCATGACTTCGCTTCCATGGCAACCCCAGTTTGCTTTCAGCAACGAAGTAACAAAAAATATGCTTAAAACCAAAGATATTTCACACTGAATTGTGAAATAATAAAAAAAAAAGTACGATGTTCCACTTTGGAGCAAATGTTGGACAGCTGGGAAGGTTATGCTTATCGTGTTTTGGGATTTTCATGGAGTACTATAAGCCCATTTTCAGAAGAGTGGTGAAAATGTGCATTCTGCATCATACTGTGAAGTTCTGTTGAAGCTTCGGGATGCAACTCGCAGAAAACATCCAGGTCAACTGGCAAGACGGTACTGCTTCATCATGACAAAGCCAGACTCCATTTTACAGCTGCTTATGTGTCGTGATTGAAGTCTTACGGACAGTATTTCAATTTTCTTGTTCTAGAAACTGGACTTCCCATTATATTTGTTGGTGGGACGAATTTCCATGAAGTAGTATCTCAAGCATACAATATTTTATTGCTTCAAATCTAAGTACCTCGAGAGCCACGAAATTAAGAGCTTTGTTATTAACGATTCCACCAAACGCTTCCTGGGGGCACGCGGTAGTGTAGTTGCTTGAGGCACTAAGCTACAAGCCGGAAGGTCGCGGGATCGAATCCCGATGAGGTCATTGGATTTTTTTTTCAATTTACCTAATCCTTCCAGCAGCACTATGACCCCGGGGTCGACTCAGCCTCTAATATAAATGAGCATCAGGAATATTCTTTGGGGTAAAGGGAGGCAGGCGCGTAGGGCTGACAACCTTACCGCCATCTATGAGCCGATTGTCTAGAAAATGTGGAAACCTCAACATCTCACAACCCTATGGGCCTCCAAGGCCTGTTACAGGGATACCTATATTTTTTACCTTTACCAAACACTGCCTCTGTCGAGCGAACATTATCTGTTCTGAAAACGGTGCATACTTAACCAGACGCAAGCACAGGAGAGCCTCACTAGGTAGCTCATTAGCATTAATGACAACTGAAAGAATATTCTTCAAGACGCAGAAAACAGTTCGAACTTCTGTGACTCCGTGATATTTTCACTAAAAAAAAAAAAGAATTGTCGTATGGAAGACAATGTGAAATAAAATGAGGCGGGAAGCTTAAACTTAATTTAAGTAATTTTAGCTCAAATCTGTATACTTCTGCGATGTATGCACTCAATGACCAGAATTTTCAAGACCTACCTCTGTCTTGATATTTGGCTAATACTTTTTGAAGAAGTCACGTTCCGCCAATGCTCACAAGCACTGAGCAATCGGAAGGTTCTTCTAACCCATACAAAGGAATTTGTCAGAATAATGAATGTATTACTTGAATAATTTGCGAAAAACTGTTGAATTGAAATTAACATTACAACTCACAGCATCACTGTACAGAAAAATCAAGTATAAATTACAGTTTCTCGACATTATAGAAGGTGACACACAGCAAACTGACATGATGATATTGTGACATGACGACTGAGAGCCGGAATAGGAGAGCCAGAGTAGACGTTCATTGCTATGCAACGACTCAATAAACAGGGTCCTGCGTAAATGAACACGTACGCAACAATAGAAGCACTATGTTTACATGCAACGGCAAGGTAAATACGCCTCTGTAACAACAGAGGAATTGTTGGGAAGCGGTGTTTTCTGTTGGGTCCGCCCAGAGGCTATGTAACGAGAATAACTGAGGTGGCCTCTTAAGTTCGTAATATTGGACAAGGCAAAGTCCGACATAGAAAGTATAAGAGGCTTAAACTTGGCGGCGGTCAAGCATACGACTGTTCAAATGACTAGACTGCCATTGTAGCGGAAGCTACTAGAAATAGGGCATAATCTGCTGTACTGAGCCTGGAGTGAAAGAGGCCCTGTATATATTTAACACATTTATTATCATGTTTAACATGTAAAATGTAAATTTCCTTTACATTATAACAAATGACTTACTACTATAGACAATGACTCCGACAAAAGACAGAGCCGTCCTATCGTCAGAGAGGGCGCCCCACAATAACAAGACCAAAACTGTCAAACAGTAATAAATATATCTGGTCATGAGCCTCAGATTGGGCTCGACACCAAGATTGACTGACTGACTGGCTGTCAGTCGCAATGTGACTTTGACCTTGAGCCTCTTGAGTCGGCAGTCGAAGATAATTAAGAAGAGATGGTAACGAAATAGTTGGCAGTTGCAGCAGCGAATTGGATTGAGAGGTTAGGAGCTGACAGTTGGCAGATGATGGAGAAATCGAGAGAGTTCAGTTGAGAGTTGAAAATCCGGAAGTGAAGTCTTTATGTGTGCTGCAGTACAGCGATATTTGGAGTGTGCAATTACAGTGAGACTGGCATATTTTCTGCTTTAAAATCCGTTACCTAGAAACGACTAACGGAGAGTGTAACAGACTGAAGACATTGTAGTGTGTAACTGTGAGCTGAAAATTGTGTAGAGCAGCGATAGCGCTGTATTACTTCTAGTTACGAGTTGAGTGTATAAGATGTCAATTAATCCAATCCATACCCCGTCTAATAGTCGCTCCTACACGTGAAAATAGAGTAATATGTCTGTAGTAACTAATTAGCAGGAACATATCACATTTTCTAAATATCAATGTTATGTATTACATAGAATTTTTATTAATATATAATTAACAAAAATTTACAATATACAGTATTTTATAATTTTTTTATATAATAAATATTATGTGAAATTGTACATACCAAATCTGCAATATTAGCAACTTGGATGGCATCGTGAACAACATCCGACCTTGAACTACCATTTCTCTTCTCAAACTGAAAAAAAAAATCACAGCATCCTATGTATGTGTTCAGTGAACCGTGCTATATTTCGAAGAAAGATTTCACTGGCTACAATATAAGACGTGTGTTCTCTGTATTAAATAAATCCAAATACAGGCCTTATTAATAAACAGCAGTGCTTTTTATATATAAAAACAGGTTCGCCAGTACTATCGTACTTGCTTACAGCCTCAAGGTTGAAACGCATAGCGCATAGACAGATGTGTGATTTTTGACAATTTTGCCGAAACACACCAAGTGTTTGCTGGTATGTGCACGGGCTGAAAAAGCGTCAGTAATTATAAAGATAAAGTTAGTTCATAAATAATTGATGGGAGATGTCAATTCCAAAGCACGTGATAAATTTTGTCAACAAATTTTTATTATAGTAATTGAATTGGAACATGCTTTAGAACTGACATGGGTGTAATGAGTGGACCAAATTTTTTCAAGCCAAAGGTAGTTAAAAAATCGAAACGTGTATTCCAGTAAATTGAAACAGATGAAAGCTGATCCGATATAAGTAAATGCACAATTCAAATGAAGTAACACTGGTTACATTTTAAAGTTTGCATTTTTGTTAATACTGACTCGGTTACCCGCCTTACAATCCTAATATGAATTTTACACACTTTTTTTTTATTGCAAGTGGGGTGGGACTAAGTCCCTTGTACTGCGGCCACTTCTGGCCTATTGTACCAGCCCCAGATGATAGGTGAGGGTGATTGTGGAGCAATTGGTGGAATGAAGATTGGCAGGGGAAACCGAAATACTCGGGGAAAACCTGCCCCAGCGCCACCACAAATACCACTTGCTCGAACCCGGGCCGCCGCGGTGGGAAGCCAGCGACTAACCGCTTGAGCTATGGCACGGACACTTCACACACTTAGCCTACTTCCGTCTTTAATACAACTTTGTTTACAATTATTCATTAACTTAAAATTAAACTGCTACATATTTAGGCCATACTTGTTCATTCTCAGGTAGCGGTTCTTTTGTCGAAATTGCTACAATGCATTAGTTCTGAAGTTAAATATTCCAAGTGTGATGTTCAAAAGCAAATGTATTTAATGAGCGAATGACGAAAATGGAATAACACTGGAATACTTTAACTTAAGAATTAATGCAATGTATCGTAGTGGATTTTTCCAGTTTACCTAATCCTTCCAGCCGCACTATGGCCCTGGGTTCGACTCAGCCTCTAACAGAAATGAGTATCAGGAATATTCTTGGACACAACGGCCGCCGGCGCGTAAGGTCGATTGTCTAGAAAATGTGGGAGCCTCAGCATCTCACAACCTTATGGGCCTCCACGGCCTGTTACAGGGATACCTTTATTTTCTTTTTTATCAGTTTCAACAAGTGAACAGTTGCCTGTGGATGGCCAAGAATGGCAGAAACTTGTAGAAGTTTAATTTTAAATTTAATATTATTTTAAGTTAAGGAGTAATTGTAAATAAAGTTTCATTAAAGGCAGAAGTAAGTGTGTAACGTGATACATCAATGCAACTGGATGCTGAAATACAATACTACTAACAGCAAAACGAATTGTTACATCTTTAAATAACTGTGGCCAGTTGTTTGTGTTGCAGCTGGTGACCATAAAAAATTAAATTCTGCGACACTCTGTTGATGTTAAGTAAGTTAAAACCGTATTTAATTGCATGATGGAAGCGTAATAATATAGGAAATTCATAGTTATATGGTCACCACAGTCGAAAATGTTGTAGTGCAGAAATACTTCTGTCTAAAGTGTTTTATTCAAGTGTTAGGATACACTAAAAAATCGTAATTAATAAAACTGAAGAATTTGTTTCGAATCTATCCAAAGAAATAATGCTTTGATGAGAATAGAGATAATAAGAGAGAGAAAAAAAAAGGGTCTCATTTTCGCTTTCGTGAAAATTAGTGATGGAAAGAAAACTAACCTGGTCTAAACTGAGTGACAGTGCCACGAAGTGGATATCAGGGATTCAGTTTAAAACAACTTTAAGTGAATCACATGCGTGTATGTGAATTAAAAGCATGTAACGAAGAAGAAGCGTCTTAACTTAATCAAGATATACGTGCATGCCACAGCAAAATAAAGTTTTTCATTTCGGCCAAAGTGGGTTTGCGTACCCCAGCCTGTATGCATAGGAATCAGAACATTTCGATACTTACCATGGCCTTGTCGATGACTATTGCTGTTTCAATATACTTGATCGCTTCCCTGACATCTCGCCGGTACCGAGCGTACTCTTCTCTGTTCCGCAGGTTTCTGCTTCCCTCTTTGACGTCCCTACGGATTCTAGCACCTTTTCTAAGGGTCCACCGGAATCTGGGCCCTATGCCGATACTCCGTCGATACCTGGCACCTGACGGCGTCCCTGATCCTTCTGTTATTCCAGATATATGCTTCTGGCGTCTGTAGTTGGGCATTCTCCATTCAAAATTTCCAGAATTGGCACAGCCTTTATTCGTCTTGGGACGAGCCTCGAAGATCACGTGAGGATGTTTCTGCTAAAGAAGAGCCGAGAGGCAAAACCGTGCAGTTATCTGTGTTGTGAATTATAATTCAAACAACTTACTTACTTACTTACTTACTTACTCATGGAGCTGAGCCCTTCTGGAAGAGCCGCCAATTCTGCAGCTACTCAAGAATTTCCCAGCATTTATGGAACCCGAAGGTTCATTGCCGTGTTCACAAGAGCCCTCCACTGGTCCCTATCCTGAGCCAGATCTATCCAATCCATACCATGCCATTCTATCTCTCTAAGATCCATTCTAATATTGTCCACCCACCTGCGCCTTGGTCTTCCCTGTGGTCTATTTCCTTCTGGCTTTCCAACCAATATCCCATACGCATTCCTCGTCTCTCCCATTCGTGCTACATGACCTGCCCACCTCATCCTCCTTGACTTGATAATTCTAATTATGCTTGGAGAAGCGTACAAGATATGAAGCTCCTTATTATGCAGTTTTCTCTAACCTCCTGTCACTTCGTCTCTCTTCGGTCCAAATATTCCTCTCAACACCCTCAATCTATGTTTCTCCCTTAATGTCAGAGACCAAGTTTCACACCCATACAGAACCACAGTAAAAATTAGAATATACAAAACATAACTCAAACAACAAAGAAACTAATGATTTTAATTGATTACTCAGGGCCTTGTAAGAACTCAATTATTTTAATGCACTAAATGGGGCAGAATTCTTTTTGAGGAGCTGAGAATCGTTCAGCTACTTAATATATTCACAGCATCTGTGAAGCACAAAATTCCATTTCCTTTTCCACAAAAGCCCGTGAATGAGGTGTTTAATACGTCAGCTTAATGTAGCCCACTACTTCATAACTAAATAAAATGAAGTTAGTTTCTTCTGACATTCCTTTAAACCGTAGGTTCATGTGATCGCCACCTTATCTCTGTATCGCCCTTTCATTTCTTGTTATCATTTTAACGATTTCTATGAAATGTGATATTAATATTATGCCATGGAGGCCACTTGAAGCAAGCTCTTTTTATTACATTCTCTTTATCAGTGACTTCAATATAACGGACACACGAACTTATTTCGCTGGAATGACAGCACCACTAAATTTTGGATTCTGAAATTATTTGTGACAACGGAACCATAAAAATTTGGAACATTTTTTAATACTTTCTCTGCAGAGAGCTATAAATAAAACATACAATTAGTATTCCTGCAAATTGCGCATGTACATAAAATACACTATGAAATAAAAATCAACAATTTCAATCACGGTGATGGTGCGAAAATTTGAGGTTATATCTGACAAATTTAATGTTGAAAGTGTAACCGGTTGTTACCTCTTTACGCCCTATATTTGGATATTTCTGCATTGTGTTAATAAAAGCAAAGTTATCCTTGTGCTTAGCTAATTAAGCCCTACGCCATGAAGACGTATGGGAGAGTGGATGTATAGCTCCACGTATTCTTAATCTTGGTACTAGTTGGAGGTGAGTGATCAACTTCACGCCCTGGCAGCTTTGCCCCCGAGGAAAGGGCCCCCGGTACACACTGTATATGAAGCTGAATGGGCCCCAGAGCCGGTCTGGACGAAGCAGACAAGAGAAAATTCTTGACCCTACCGAGACTCGAACTCTGACCCCCTCAGTCGTCCAGCCCGTAGCAAGTCGCTATACCGACTGCGCCATTCCAATTCCCCTTATAAGAGTACAAGTGATACAAGTGTAACAATAACAGCCTCCAAAGAATAATTATGTATCTAAGTGTAGGTCTACAGTGTAAATAAGTTAACTGCTTGTTAACTATATGTAATCCAGTGACTTTTTTGTATAACTGTCTCATCGAAGAGAGACTCGTGGAGTCATGGGTAGGAATTCTCATTCTTGCCTACTAAACATCAGTCCCTTTGCAATTCCACACAACTCCTGATACACTCATTCGTGATTTCTCAAACATGTGACGCCCAAAAAAGTTTGAGAAGAAGGCAGCAACAAAAGAATCCGTACTTAAGTAATGTAAGTTATTCACCAAAATGATATAATAACAGTTCAATTTTATTTATATCGTAAAACGCTTGACAGGAGCAATAAAGTTGAATACAGGCAAACATGGCAACAAACTACACATATGATTAAACTGGAGAAGTAAAAAAAAAAACTCCGTAGTTTTAGTCCGCAAGCGAACTATTCCGGCCGAGCGACCGCAGCTTGTCGGCGAAGTTAGTGCCAACTCTTAGCGGGTAGAGGGTGTCGCATGGTCAGCGCAACGAATCCCCACTGCTGTCAATTTCGGTTTGCTAGACCGAAACCGCTATAACTCCTCAGTTATCCTCACGAGGCTGAACGGACCCCGCTCCAGACCCACTACTTCTCAGAAAATCTGGTAGCGCCGGGAATCGAAACCGGATCTCTGGATCTGTAGCCAGGAACTCTGACCACTTAATAAATATGGTCTGGGAATCTCAGGTCGGAGTGTATCAAGATTACAGTCATCTGGGAGTGACGTCTTGTATGTTGGAAATTTTGTTATTACATCATAATTTAGAATAATTTTATGGAAGTACGTAGTACAGCGTACATGAGATAGTGGCTGTCAGTCCATCACGGGTGCACTGTAGAGTGCTGTAACAGGGCTGGCACCTTGCACAAACGAGATTTTACTGTCTCTAATCAAGAAGACCACCAGTAACATTCAGTTACTTTCTGCTTTCCCTTCCCTGAGCGCGAAATTTTCTTCCATACAGACGCACTGAAATAACAAGTAAAGTAACGACGCAGTAACCCCGTCCCCTTCGCAGTATCCCCCTCTCAACCACCACAGTTTTAAAACTTGGTTTCCTGCTCTGGTATGGCTTTAAGCTGAAATAAAGCCCTAACATTTAGAAGCGAGTAGGACAAAAAAATATAAACTTTTGTAATTGCAGAAGTGTTAAAGGGATTACCAAGGTAAGCTGCTTATACCTGACACTTTCGTGTCGTATTTGGGAAGTTTAGTTCAAACCCCAAATGATTATGTTACTGTATATATTGTCGTCTTCCTTAGATGTTTAGTGAGAAGAAAATATATAAAAAAAAATTGTACTTCTGTCATTTAGAAGATCGAGTAAGAACGGAAGCGTAATATTAAGACAGATCTTAGGAAATAGATTTTGAGCGTAGAAAACTAATGGAACTATCTCAGAATCATGTCTAATGGTAGACGATACACTTTGCGTGAGTCCACTTTTTACTGCGGCCACTACTGGCGTATTCTACCAGTCCTTGACGACAGATGATGGTGATTGTGGAGCAATTGGTGAATGAAGATTGGCACGGGAAACCGAAGTACTCGGAGAAACTCTTCCCCAGTGCCACTTTGTTCATTAAAAATCCTAAATCACCAGACCCAGGCTCGAACCCGGGCCGCCAAAGTGGGAAACCATTGACTAGCCGTCTGAGCTACGTTGCGGCCTATCCTGTTACTGAAGTAATTTAATCAATTTTCGCTCGAACTAAAATATGCCAGACCATGTTCTTGTGTGATGACCAGCTCCCTTTAAGTCCTTTGCTTCTTGCGCTTAGTGTACTAACGTCATTAAACATTTGTATGAGTTCCATAAAAATGGTATAACTTCCAAGCGCTCGTCAACATAATAGAGATGAATGGTAATGTAAGTCACTACTTATATGTGTGTGACTGTGCTCGAGAAATAGCTACCATGGAAATTCACCTTTTTACAAGAAATTATTGTGGCAAACGCTTCGACTCTTTCCGGCTGCAGAATTACTGCTGATTATCAGATATATTATGTAAGGCAGTCAAATGTTTGTGGCTTGCGGTTCGTACGAAAACAGTCCGTGTAAGTCACAACTACCCCCTTTCATTGTCCCATGTTAGTATACACATCGTGGTAATAATGATTAAATGATAATTAAAAAAAATAACTGGAGATTATATGTAACTACCATTTGGTGATATCGTATAATCACTGATTACTGTACATAGTAACCGGCATATTGAGTTATACCCGAAAAAAATTAATTGAAATACGTTTATGAGATCAGCAACATTCTGAGAAAGTCTTCTTAAAATGGTTAATGTGGTCTATCAACTTTGCTCTCATTGGTAATTTACTGGTTTTCGGCAGGTGTTTACATTCTAGTCGCTGTACCCAATGCGGGCCCACATTCATCCAGTTCTTCAGCTCAGACAGTTAGTTAGTTAGTTATTGAAGAGGGTGGGTTACCCCATGCACCGCGACCAGTTTGATCTATTGTGCTTCCCTCTATGATATTCTACCAGTCTCTATACCCCACCGATATTGGTGCGTACCATCAGTCCGACCGAGCCAGCGAGTTCTCTACTGGCTTGGCGGTATCTATAATGCTTCCCCCATCTATCAGAGGCGTTAGAGACTACTGTTGGGCTGGAAAAGTCCTTGAATTTGGCTCAGTGACCTCCTTTGGAGATATGAGGTTCTTTTACGTGCCGTAAAGCTACGACACGGGACACACGGCTTAAAGTCCCTACCAGAGGACTTTTTCCCTGAATTTTTCCGCCCTTAAAAATTTGACGATCTCCGCCGGGTTTGAACCCGCGTACCGCGAGTCATGAGGTGGGAACGTTACCGCTAGACTACGGAGGCCGCTTTCAGCTCAGGTAAGTCTATAATACATTCATATACTCAACTGTAAACAATGGCAAATCACAGATATACTGAAGGAGATCTTCATTTTAATCGCCTTGTTTCACCACAGTAAGAGTTGCATCAAACTTCGGGTGTCGTTAATATGTGATGTATGCGGACTTGATGCATTTCATTTCGAAAATGACAGATCAGACGAAAGCAATGGGTACAGCTCTTGCTATGTACGTATTTCGAAGCTGTGCTGTGCATATACAGCGGAGCGGATGAGCCTATGGTACTGCTCTGAAAGTAGACTTAGATGTGAAAAGATTGAAGGATCCACCGCATATTTTGATCTTGATATTACAGTAATTTCTGATTTAACTCATAAATATTATAATTGATAGGGATGTATGAATTTAAA